GTTCATAACATGAAGTCAAATCCCGGCCCTGATGAAATAAGGGCAGCAGCAGAGGCTTTGGTCTTCAAGCAACGTGAACTGGAAAACCAGCGCAGGGAATTGCATGGCCTCCTTTCTACCCAAGGTATCTCTTCCGACAGTGCTGACTGTGTGATGGAGGCAGTGACAAGATCTTCTCACGGGGCCTCCTCCGTTCCCTTCTAGCCATCCTTGGTGGTACTTTGAGGCACGTGACTTTTCGTCCTTCCCTCATGTTTCCTCATTCTACATATGTTCAATGTTACTCTGATTTCTCCTGACATTCTCTTTTTTTTGTTCTGTTTTGCAGGTCGCATTTTGCTTGGTGTAGGATTGACTAGCTTGACACATTCTAGAGTTTCGTTCGGGATTGAAGCACACATTACTTCTTAGCATGTATAGCTTGATCTTGACTTATGTTGTAAAACTGGTACCGTGGCAGCTTGGCATTTTAGTGCTGTTGTGTTCCAGCTGCCGGAACCTATGTTCCCCTTTTTTTCTTTTGCCAGAAACACATTGTAGCTCTTATTCGACATGTATAAAATGCCTGGTTGGTAGAATCCTTTGCTTGAATTTTAGATCGGGTATCCTTTTGAAGCATGGTGGTTGTTGCCAAAATTTTGTTAGGATGGCCCTTTGACACTGCCTATTTTCTTTGAAGGTTCTCGGACCTTATGAGCATGCTAGCTTCCTTTTGCGGGTGCTCAGCTTGGCTTGTTCTTTTTCATTTTGCCTAAGCGTGAAAGCTGCTACAGACCTAGGATCCCATTCAAATGGCTTTGCTTGGCATGTCTTTTGCTAAGTAATATTTTCCTCCACTTTTTTTTTAGATATCCGCTGTATATTTATATGTAATTGTAAACGCCTGTCCAAAAAGAAATTCGAGGTACGAAAAAGGGAAAACTTCCAGAGACAATTTTTTTTAAAATACTCCTTCATTTTCATTTCAAATCCCATGCTACCATGATGATACAAAAGCTTTTCAAAACAAAGTGCACATAGAAGGGGACAACATTTTTTTAGATAAAAAGGAAATGCAATAATACGAAAATAATATATTATGCCTACTTAGCAGTAGTAGGGCTTGAGCCATTTTCCATTGATGGGATCCATTAGCATGCCTTCCTTGACAGAGATCAAGCGATAATA